GGAAGACCAGTGCTCTAAATCCACAGTGAGCCATGGGTGAGCCAATGGCAGGACTGAAAAAAACAGACGTTGAGCCGTTGACTGAAAAATACCCTCTAAAGACTCTATGACACAGAAACGCTGTCGACAATAAATAAAATCTACAATAAGCAAAGAAAGAGAGGGATTGAACCTACGACCCTGATTACAAGACCATGCTCTCCAAATCCACTTAGAGCAGGTAATACTACTGTTTTAAAAAAGAGATTGTTCCACAATAAAGATTGTGTCTCACTCTAAAAGCCCATAGGAATCACACGATTGGGGTGAATGGTTTTTCAAATAAGTTTACCCAGTGTGGATTGAACCTCAATGCACCCCTAGTCTACATGAGCTGTGCTCTAACAACTTTCTATGGTTTCACGCAGTAATCGGGAAAAGAGATTATTATTTTCGTTGACTGAAATTTACTGCAAAGTCTTATTACATAGAAACGGTACGACAATAACAAAATTTAATTTTGTCAAAATGAGCCACCCAGTGAGGATTGAACCACGACCTCAAGCAAGACCAGCTCTAAATCCACCAGCTACAGGCACTGTCTTCTAAAAAAGACTGTTCTACTAAAGATTGTGTCTCATCCAAGTATACAGGTTGTGAATCGCTACTTAAAAATAATTGTTTTTTTTCAAATAAGCCACCAGTGAGGGATTGAAACTCACGTCTCTGGTTTACAAGACCAGTGCTATAACCACTGAGCTATGGTGGCAATGCAGTACCTCCAGAGATTGTTGGGTGATGACTGTGTTTTATTCAAAGACTTATTATATAGAAGTTTCTTGTCGTTTATAAAAAATTTGATTTCTTCCAAAATAATAACTGTTGAGGATTTCAAACTCTACGACCCTGGTTTACAAGACAGTGTCAGCACTGAGCTTTGGGTGGGTAAAATACAATTGCTCATAAAAGATTGTTCCGTTGAAGATTGTGGGTTCCCCACCTGAAGTCCTATTATATAGAAGCGCTGTCGATTATAATAAAATTAGATTTCTTTCCTTAAATGAGCCACCCAGTGAGGATTAAACCCACGACCTCTGCTCTTACAAGACCATGCTCTAAACTAATTGAGCCATGGGTGGCGTCATGTCTTCTAAAAAAGATTGTTCGGCTGGAAGATTGTGCCCATCTTGGAAGTACATTACATAGAATCAATCAAGCACACCTTCAAAAAATAATTGTTTCTTCATAAATACCAGTGAGGATTGAACTCACGACCCTGTTCTTACAAGACCAGTGCTCTAAACCATCGAGCTATGTGGACCGTGGCTCTAGAAAAATTTGTTCGCTTTGAAAGATTGTGTCTCACCTGAAGTCTTATTACTACTCGCGTATCAAAATAAAAAAAATTATTTTTCAATTAGGCCACCAGTGAGGATTCTCGAACCACACGACCACTGTTTTGCAGACCAGTGCTCTAACCACTAGTTAAGCTGGTGTGCCCTAACAGGTACTAAGAGTTGTTGGCGGATGAATGTGTTTCAATCCTGAAAGACTTATTGCTAGAACCGTCTATGTCGACTATAAAAAAAAAAATGAGTTCTTCAGAAGCCACCAGTGAGATTGAACTCACGACCCTGGTTCAGAAGACCACGTATACCACTGAGCTATGAGGCACACTTAGGGCTCTAGAGAAATTGTTCGCAGAAGATGTGTTGTCATCCTCAAAGACTCTATGTATATATGAAGCTTGTGATTATAAATAAAAAATTGAGTTTACACAATATAGCCACCAGTGAGGATTTGAACACTCCACCCCTGGTTTATACAAGACCAGGTACCTACTGCATTCTTCGGCTTATGGAATGGCACATGTTCCTGAAAAAATTGTTCCAGGCTGATAAGATTGTCTCACTGAAGTCTGTAGCTAAAGCTTGTCATATAAAAAAATTTAATTCTTCGATGGCTCACCAGTGAGGATTAATCACGACCACTTTTAAGAAGACCTGTTGCACTCTAACCACTGAGCTTGGGGGAGGCAATGGTAACTCTAAAGAGATTGTTGAGTCAGATGAATGTGTTTCCCTGAAAGACTTATTAACATAGAAGTATGGCCGATTATAAAAAAAATGAGTTCTTCAAAATAAGCCACAGTGGGAGGGATTGAACTGGGCTAGACCCTGGTTTACAAGACCAGTGCCTAACCACTGAAGCTATGGATGCACGCATATCTAGAAATTGTTCCTGAAGCGTGTGTCTACCTCTAGCTTATTATAAGAAGCTGTCGTTGTGCAAAAAAAATTAGATTTTTTCAAAATAAGCCACCGTGTCTGGATTGAATCAATCGACCCTGAGTGCTACATGAGATGATGCTCAAACCACTGTGTCTATGGTTTAACATAATCGAAAGAGAGTCTTGAGTGTTGACTAAAATTTACTCAAGGAACATGCAGACGTCGACAATAAGCAAAATTACTGAATTCTTCGGAAATGAGCACACAGTGAGGGTTGACACTCACGACCTCCGTAGTTTACAAGACCAAATTTCTAATCACTGAGCTATGGTGGCACAACAGGATTCTCTGAAAAAAAGATTGTTCCTGCTGAAGATTGTATGCTCATCTTGAGTCTTATTACATAAACGCTACTAATTAAAAATAATTTGATTTTTTCTTGCCAAAGTCACCAGTGAGATTGAACTTCGACCCCTGTTCTACAAGCATCACGTGCTCAACCACTGAGCTATGCTGCACGCAGTACTCTGAGAGTAGAGACTGGGGTAGATGGAATGTGGGGTTTCCCTGGAGACTTGTTAAGCATAGAAGCTAAGTGCTCTATTTGTAAAAAAAAAATTGTGCCTCTTCAAATAAGCCACCAGTGAGGATTGCTGAACTCACGACCCCTGCTTCATGCTATATTCACTGCCTGGAACGAATTTTGAGCTATGGAGGCACGCTGTACTCTAGAGAGATTGTTGGGCAGTTGACTGTGTTTTATTCAAAGACTTATTATATAGAAGCTTTGTCGTTTATAAAAAAAATTGATTTCTTCAAATAAGAAACCAGTGAGGATTGAACACACGACCCCTGGTTTACAAGACCAGTTCTCTAACCACTGACCTATGGTGGCACACATTGCTATAAAAAGAGATTGTTCCGCTGAAGATTGTGTCTCACTCTGAAGTCTTATTATATAGAAGCGCTGTCGATTATAAAAAAATTAGATTTTTTCAAATAAGCCACCAGTGTGGATTGAACTCACGACCCTTAGTCTACATGACCAGTGCTCTAACCACTGTGCTATGGTTTCACGCAGTAATCGAAAGAGATTGTTGAGCTGTTGACTGAAATTTACTCTAAAGTCTTATTACATAGAAACGGTGTCGACAATAACAAAATTGAATTCGTCAAATGAGCCACCAGTGAGGATTGAGCGCACGACCCCTGGTTTACAAGACCAGTGCTCTAACCACTGAGCTATGGTGGCACACAGATCTCTGAAAAGATTGTTCCTCTGAAGATTGTGTCTCACTCTGAAGTCTTATTATATACAAGCGCTGTCTAATATAAAAAAATTTGATTTTTTCAAATAAGCCACCAGTGAGGATTGAACTCACGACCCCTGGTTTACAAGACCAGTGCTCTAACCACTGAGCTATGTTGGCACGCAGTACTCTAGAGAGATTGTTGGGCAGATGACTGTGTTTTATTCAAAGACTTATTATATAGAAGCTTTGTCGATTATAAAAAAAAATTGAGTTCTTCAAATAAGCCAATAGTGAGGATTGAACTCACGACCCCTGGTTTACACGACCAGTGCTCTAACCACTGAGCTATGGTGGCACACAGTGCTCTAGAAAAATTGTTCCGCTGAAGACTGTGTCTCACTCTGAAGTCTTATTACATAGAAGCGCTGTCGATTATAAAAAAAATTTAATTTTTTCAATTAGGCCACCAGTGAGGATTGCACATACGACCATTGGTTTGCAAGACAAGTGCTCTAACCATTGAGCTATGGTGGCACGCAGTACTCTAAAGAGATTGTTGGGCAGATGAATGTGTTTCCCAGAAAGACTTATTACATAGAAGCTATGTCGATTATAAAAAAAAATTGAGTTCTTCAAATAAAGCCACCAGTGAAGTTGAACTCGACCCCTGTTTCAAGACCATCTCTAACCACTGAGCTATGGTGGCGCATTACTCTAGAGAGATGTTGGGCAGTTGACTGTGTTTTATTCAAAGACTT